AGGCAGGGATTTTAGAAGAAAAGGGTCACATTTCAAGCGAAACAATTGCTTTTCTATGCCACCACTTGCACACACAGTGATCCACTTGTCTACCTGCTTCACTTGGGCAAGCATTCATTTCACATATGTTAATGTACATGTCCAAACTCAGGCTGCTGCACACAAAAGCAGTGTGAAAGTGAAAATAAAGGCTGGGTTGGGGCCACCTACTGAATGATCTGATGGAGTTCAGACTGGTTATATTAGCCCCCATTGCCTGGTATTGGTGAGTATTAGCATGTAAATTCTGCTGTTCTTTTAGCTGTAGTCTCACCCTCAATCTTCTAGGAGATAAAATTTCAAGGAGAGAATAAGAAGATGATGAGGTTAAAGTAAATTGTTGGGAAGTTGAAGTCTAAAGTGGAAATAAATGAGAAATAAAGCCCTTTTTAAAAGTGGAGGAAAGTATTTTCTTGCTATTTTTCATCTCCCTGGCTTGAGTGAGTGTGTGTCATGAGGCTGCAGAGATTTATATTACAGCTCCTAAGCACCAGTGCTTGTTCAGAGGCTGTATTATTCTGGCCCTTTTTATTCACTCACCTTCTAAAGATGTAGTGTAAATATTTATCTTCCCTCTGGCCCATCCATGCTGCCCAGGACCCAGTGCTGTTAAACACTCTTATCACCTCATCGTTCTTATCTGCTGCGATCCCTGCCAGCATTTGGAGCCTGTCAATGGGAACGAGCATGCACCTGAAAAGGTGCCACAAATGAACAGAAAGAAGAGGTGGTGCAGGGGAAAGAATGCCTGAAAATAAAGAACACGTGCCATCCCTCCAAAGGGAAGGGCTAGAGTAGATGTTTTCTGCTGTGCTTTTCATGCTCGCAGTGTCTGCACTTGGGGATGTGTTTGAAGGCACCGAGATGAGGTCTCAGTGTGCAGGTATGGGGTGTGGACCCTCACAGCTGGTGTGGAGGGCTGTCCAGCCCCAGCTCTGTCACTGATACAAGGTCTAGCTGGACCAAAGCTCACCCAGGATTTGCTTTTTCTCTACTAGCGCTAAATAAAAGGTGAGATGCAGAAGAGACCATGTCTCCCTTAGGGCCACCCTCCCTCTCGCAGAGGTTTCTGCACACAGCTTATAATGAGGCAGGTCTGGACAGTCAGTCTTTGTAGCACAGTTTTTAAAGCTGTTCTGTGAAACAACAGTCAAACACTGGTCAGTCAAGATCTACTTGCAATGGCAAGACAACAGCAATGTTTTCTAGAGTGCACAGCATCTTAGGAGGGCTCAGCCAAGTCGTTTCCATGTCTCTGCCCTTCAGGCCAGAACTTGTGTTAGGTTAAGCAGGGAACAGAAATTCCCAAGGAATGAACATGGGATGGCAACACCGATATAATCCTATCACTTATAAGACAAAATTGACGTGCAGTAGCCATAGTACCACTTAGCGGATAAGACAGTTGGTCCATCTGCGCTCGGTCCATCTTCTCTCATTTCTCTTGCTTAAATTTCTCAGGAGCAGAACAAAATCCTGTTATCCAATAAGTTATCCACTGGTAGTTGGATTTTCATTGAGTGACATCTGTCGCAGACCTTGGATGTAGGAGGTACTGGTGACTTTGTAGCATCTTTGTTTTGATGGGTTTGGTAGACATGGACATTTGGGTTTGGGTTTTGAAGTATTTGGAAACACTCTCATCTCTCTCAAAGGCTGTGCAGTTGGGCTGTCATCCTGCCATGGCCAGATGTGCCAAGAGGCAGTAAATGGCACCAGGAATGGCACATGGCGTTAGGAGACAAGAGGAAAGCTTGGAATCAAATCTGTTGTTGGTCAGTAATGTGGGGGGAGGACTGAGCATTCCTACATTTGAGTATGTCGTGGTCTTTCCTTTCTTGTCATTTTCTATCTGCCTGTGTAGGTTCTGTCACTTCCACGAGCTCCTCCTTTTTATAGGCAGACCATTGTTAAAAGGCCTCTGGGATGGAGACCTACCAGTGCCTTGCAAGCCTTTACAGAAACATGTATTGCTGCTCTGAGCATGGCTTTTTCCCCCTTTTGTGTTGAAGTTCACTGAATCAGAGCAGATTTCCTCCCTTTCAACCTGTCACAGTGACACATTTCAGCTAACACATGATGATAAAAGGGCGTTTCTCAGAGGCATCCTGGCATAGAGCAGAGCTCAGCGTTGGCCCTGGAGCTGCCCATCTCTTCTTGTGTACTCTCCAACCAGCTCCCCTACTCAACACCCTCTCTTTGGTCCATCTGCTGAAACAATGCCATCCACTGTTGGCATCTCTTCCTCCTGGCTGTGGAGGATACACTCTGGATGCTCTTCTCCTGGCTGGTGCTAGCAGGGTGAGGACAGAGGCTGCGTCAGATTGTCCCTGTGCATCCACTGTTTGAGATCATTCATCCCAACAGAGGCACATCCTGGGAGAAGGACACACTTCACCTCCCTAGGATGCTCCAGAAACTGCCATTTGCTGTCGCACGTCAGGAAATATCTCTTGCATCAAGGCCAGCTCTCAGTTCATCTTAATTCATCTTCTGTGCATCGTTTCATTGCAAAACTAACATTTCCAGCTCTTGGTAGGCAATATTTGTCTCACATAATTCCCACAATGGGAGCTGTAATCCTCACTTTCACGGCCCATCTTTGATTAGTCTCTAGGTGTGACCACTTTGCTCCTCAGGCTCAGCATTGCCATACCTGGAGCAGCCAGGCACGTTGGGCTGCAATTAGCCACGGTGCTCCAAAAAGCCAAATCAAAGGGAGATTGAGATCAGCAGCTTCCCGAGGGCATTTCAAGGCCTTTAGCGAGTGACCACACTAGAGCTTTTTCCATTTACCTGGATTAAAATTTGTCACAGAGGAAATACAAGCAAACAGCACAGCATCTGAGAAGTGTAACAAATAGCATTTGGCCAGCCAGCAGGCCCAAAGGGGGGAAAAAATCCACAGCGTAAATAAAGTGCAAACCATGTTTGCATAACATTGGATTAATAGTTCTTTTTAAAAACCACACTGGGATTAAAGAGATGAGTTTTGTATGCCTGGACTTGCGCTCCCTCCTTTGCCCAACAGATGCCAGGAAGTACATCTAAGGGAAATAAAAAGCCTTGTTAGCCTCAGCTGGCTGTGCTGAAGCAGCAGTGCTTTGCAAAAAGGCCTTTGGAAGAGGAGCAAATGGCTGTAGGATTCCTGGAGCAGTCCTGTGTGGCATATAGGCAGGTCTGCAGCAAAGTGTTCTCGTGCAAAGGGATTTTTGCTGCACAGCTCCAGTCCCACTCACCTGTGGGTTTTGCTGGCTGCAATGTTGACAGCAGCAATGCAGAGAGGAGCTGGTTTCCCATCCCCCATCCTGCATATTTGACATTCTGCCTTTCCAATAACTCACTCGGAGCACTCCCACCTCTTCTTACTCAGCCCTGTTCCCTATTTTGCTGAAGTCAGAGCCAACCCTGTCACTCCTCCGAGCAGGATGTGCTTAAGGAGCAGTCAGGGGCTCTGGGCTCAGATCGGTTACCTTGTTAGGGTGGAACAATCAATGGATGCTGTCCTTGATTCCTTCAGATCTTTTGTTTGTGGTATTGTCTGATGACACCCATTTGCATTACACTCCCCACAATTTGGGCAGGCTCCTGAAATGAGGCAGATTCAAACACTGGTGAGTGACACGAATGGGACAGAGTGGCATGTGGAAGGAAAAATTATATCCCCACCTTTTGCTCAGAAGAGATATGAAATGGATGTTGAGGCAGCAAATGCCTGTTACATCTGGCTTCTCCCTGTTTCTGCTGTGGTTGTTGTGTTAGTGCAGAGTCCCAGAGCAATGCACGGCACCTCCCACCCCGAAACACAAGTCAGTCCTAGTTCCTCAGCTCAACAAGATTAATAGTAAATAACCAGAAGTCTCCAGACAGCTATGAGTGGGATTTCTACCTGTTTTCCTGCTCTCCTTTTCCCTTTCGCCTACTCCAGAATCCATAGCAGACTGTAGAATTTGCACCTTAATCCCAAAGATGATGGTAATTAAAAACTTAAGTCTCCATAGACAGATGCAAATAAGTTAAGGAGGCAAAGAACTGAATTAGAGGCTAATCCTGGTGGAGCAGTGAAAGCAAAGGGGCCAGTAAATCTTTCCTTCTGTTATTTCACCTGTTCTGGTGGCAGGATGGGGATGAAGTGCCTGGGTTTGCACTGCTGGATGTGCCACATGAGTACCAATTCTCCAGCAGAGCCTGGGGAGGGGACACAGGAGCCTGGGAAGGGGACACACTTCCCAAAGCATTGCAGCTGGTGCAGTGGTGTACACGTTAGCTGGAAGAGGGAGCTGTGTGCGAGCACCTTCAAAACATGTGGTTTGCTTTGCCCTTGAGCTGCAGGTGTTTCACAAGGAGGAGTTCAGCAACCTGCTCCCATCCCTGAGCACTGCACCCTTCCCTCACCCAACAGAACTTACCTGGGCTTGGGGTCCACCTTTGGCCAGACCTGAATTCTGAAGGGAAGGGACCTAGAATTGATTCAGGTGGAAAAGAAGCAGATTTTTTTGCCCTGTGTGCTCTCTTGTGCTGAAGAGTGCAGCACACCGAGGTGTGCCAGTATCCCAGTGCTTTACCCTTCTCTGGAGTACTGGGCCAAAGCTAGGCTTGCAGTGAAGCATCTTGCACTACAGCATCAGGATTAGTAAGAATCCCAACATGTGACTGTAGGACTAAAATCCTTCATTTTTATGAGCTGGAAGTGATAACGCTATGAACTGAATTATACTCACGTCATGACGTGATCCACGCACTCATATGGGTGGATAGGTATTGATTATCCATCAGTATGGACTGATGGCAGATGATGATTCAAATCCCAGCTGTCAGATAGCTGGACATCCTGGGCTGCTTATCTAGTCAATTAAAACGTTGCTATGATTCAGCTTACTTATCTAAAACTGGGATTTGCTTGTATCCCCACGGTGTTACCTGTACCTCTAAAATCAAGTCCCCCTCTCTCTCTTTTCCAGGATGGAGAAGGCCAGACTGCACTCCATTATGGTAAGCTGCTCTTAGTTTGGTTGTTTCCTCTTAACAGCATGAATTTGTAGCTGGAGTAAATGGTCTACATACAAAAAGCAAATTTCAGCAGAAAAAAATGAACAAAGAAGGTGGATTTGATTAACCAGCAGCTAGCTCAACCAGCAGAGCCCAACATGGTAGGAGTAGGAGCCTTGGGAGAAGCAGCAAGGAAGACTGCTCTATTCCCTTCATTCTCCTCCGCAAAAGTCACCTTAAAGCCTTCCTTTTCCCTCAATTAATGATGCAGAGTTTACCTGTACACCTGTGTGTCTCCAGTACATGGTTGTGTCACCTCCAGACCCAGGAGTGGCTCTGGTTAGGAGATGCCAAGTTCTTTTGCCTTCAGGGAGGCTCTGCACCAGTTTTAAGAGGTTACACAG